GATTGACATTACGGTAACTTCTAGGTATCCGACGGTATTAAATCCGTTAATCATATTTTACTAGATGATTGATTTTTCCGTTGAAACACGTTCGAATTGCTGATCATAAAAGTTTAATAACTTTTAATTCATTACGTCCTACTGACTAAGCAAGATGCATTGCCCAGCTATTTTACAATAACAATTGCCAGGTCTGTGGTCTGAGACGACGACGCAATTCATTGACCGATGCACACATATACCACTGAAATCTATCACGTTTCAACCCTTTATTACTTCAAAATCGCAACGTTTTGGGGCACATTGAAAATATAGAAGTTATTGATATCCTAGAAACGTATTTATATAGTAAAAGTTGCGTTACATCTCTAAACATGGACGGACACAACTTTAACTACAGGTGTAAAACTATGGCGCCTTGATACATGGTATGTGAAGCAGCCAACTTAAATACCTTGTTCGTTTAACCTTTAGTCTTTTGCATGTCGTTGTCGATCATGCATCAGTAATTTTAGTCTCCGTCAGTTTGGTATTATGCTTTCATCGTCCCTGACTTTTGAATTACATTTTGCTATGCTTCTGAACTGCTGGCGTGAAATAGAGCACCACCAACCTATCGACTAGACTCGCTTAATCATCGATCCTGATCATCATGCCTGAATCGCTGACTACCCGGCCACCGGCACTGGCACTGGCACCGGCACCGTCTGAACCCCTAGATAAGACGTACTCGTGTGCGAAGTGTTCATACATTTTAAAAGACCCAGTACAAACACAATGTGGACACCGCTATTGTAGACGTTGTTGGCAGAATATTTTCAGTTGGTAGGTCATTTTTTTATAACATTTGAGACGGAGTACTGTCGTCTAACAGTATTCACTTGTACTAAATTTAAAATATATTCCCTTGAAGAACCGCTCACGTATTCGCTTGCAGACTATGTGAATCCTAGAATCCACTGTAAATTCATATCCAGTCGGCCAGGGTGATGTTTATATTCGTATTGTTGATAAACTTTTCTACGAAGTAACCTACTGAACTGACCTTGTTAAAGCTTTGGCCCACGCCTTGTTTGCAAACAAGCAATGTTTGCTCAATGTCACATGATACAGTATCTCGTGATGTTTACATCATACAGTGTCATATTATATCGGACTGCAACCTGGAATAGGGTTACAGTGTTTTCTGTCGCTAATTTAGTCTAAAAGCCAATTATACAGTGTGTGTTTTATTAGCGAGAGATGCTAACTTTGGATTATTTGTGTAAAAATCTGTATATATAAATTTAAGTATGTACATTATATGAACTTTTTTTCCTCATGAGCGCAGTGTTTCTGTCTGACTATTTATTGCAGATTGCTGCTTATTACAATCATTTCAAAATGTCTGTCTAATTGTATTCATTGCGAACGGTCTTTCTAACATTCAATTTTTTTTCATTGACTGCAACTATCCGATTATATGTATGGCAACTATTTGTCTGATTATTGAATTTTGCCTGTTTCGGAAACTTTCCTCCTCACCTTAATAATTATAAACTTTATGATTACATTGATTTCAATCTGTCTGTTCAATTATATTTGCTGCACACACTGTGTCCGATTATGTTCAGAGCAAGCTGCCTGTCTGATTGTATTCAATAGAAAACTGTCATTCCGATTATATTCATAGCAAACGTATCTTATTAAATTGTCATATTAGATTGATCACTAAAGCTATATGTTGAAAAAGTTGTTTTAAATGATCAATTTATACAGAACATGCCATTTAATTCTCCAATAGTTGCAATAAGTTCCCTAAATGGAAACGGCTTCGCAGCAACACTAGTGTTTAGTTTATATGTATTTCCCAACTCAGTGACTAAAGATGGAATGAAATGCCAAGCTGTTGACGAAGATGAAAAATGTGAAACCATACTTAGATTTGAAGAGGTAAAGACGTAACCAAATATGTGCTAATCGGCATATTTGTATCATATTTTGTGTTCATAACTCTTAGTTTGTTTTTAAGAAACGGTCATTTTCTTAAACATATTCTATAATTTCTATTTGTTAAACATTCATATTTTGAATTGTTATATTAAAACAGATTCACATAGACAAAGCATGTGCCAATGATATTCAGAAACTGTGTGTTAATTGTCCTAGCATTGGATGCGATTGGAATGGATTTGACGTTAAGTACGAAATATTATGTATTTTTCATCACAACTGCTATATATTTCACCCGATAATATATTATCGGAATAATTGTTTCAATAAGACATTAACGTCTAGTAAAAAAATCATCATTACTAGTTTTATTTTATTTTTACGCTCTTTCCTTTTACCAAAAGGATTTACTTTTCCAATAAATACTCATATGCCTGCAGGATCACATGGAAAATTGTTTATTGGAATCTCCTCTTCTAGATAGAATATGTAGAGCTGATAGTATCCGTCCGACCATACATCAGATAGATAATATGGATGTTTGTGTGTGATGTTATAATCAATAAACAGGTAATTGTATGTAGATGTATCTGTAAAAATATATATTATAATTAGCACGCATTGTGCCTATACGCTAACATGTTTTTGTATATTTTTTTAAAGCATGAAGTCACTACTGGGATTCCAGGATCAGAAATCATGGCTTGTATGAAGTTTGATATATCTAAACTACGCATAGTTCTCGATCAACCCATTTAGAGTCATGAGGCGCGGATACTGACAAAGAAGCTACATAGTATGAAAATTGAATTAAATGAGCTGGAAGTTCAAACATTGCCTATTTTGCATACATGAGCAAATACTCATTCAGTTTAAAGTTCAGTGATTAAACACTTCATAAATAATACACAAATCCTGTACAATTAGCTAATTAGCTGTTTTGAGAGCATTCGCTTCATTGCTGTTATCTTTCCATTGTTCGGTTCTATGCACTTGTTTTTTTTTTCCTTTTGGTATTTTCTTGCTTTGCTTTTTTGGGTCTCCGGTCTGTGTTTTGAAAGCCCGTTCGTGGCGACTGGATGCATTATATTTGTGATAGAGGTAAACAAATCGAAAGATTTGCAAGCAAATACAAGCTTTTTTGTTCGTACGTTTTGTTGTTTTTGTCTTTTGTCTATTTTATAGTCATATTTATATGTTTTATGTACTGTAGTTTATTTTTAATTATTTTATTTGCACTGTTTTGTATAAGAGACTACAAGTTATCTCATCGTGAGAAATTGTACCAGAAATTAAAATTGTGACGTTAAACGTCAATGGTATAAGAAATCTCGTCAAAAGAAAGAAAGTATGGAATTGGCTAAATAGAAAACAAGTGAATGTTATTTTCCTCCTGGAGACCCATAGTCTCTCCACAGATCAGTATAGTTGGTCGTCGCAACTTAGAGGTCAGGGTTTCTTTTCACATGGTACTTAATAGTAGTAGGGGAGTGCTTACTGTTATTCGTGATATAGACTTTGATGTTAAAAACACTGTCATCGATCCCTGATGGTCGTTTTGTTCTTATACATACGTTAATTGAAAATAGCCCTTTCCTGTTGCTTAATATTTAC